CGCTTGTCTTAGTCTTCAAGCAATAAATGCAAACCCTCCAGCAAACGAGTCCTTCCAGGCTGCGTATACGAATTCTGATCGCAATATCACGGCAGCATCACATGGGATGAAACAGTGAGGGCCTAAACTCCGCAGCGAAACACTTTCCAGGGAATTTCTCGAGGTTTGTTTAACACTTGGAGACAAAATAATAAAACTGGAATCTATTCCCGAGTTGGGAGTACGATGAAATGACTTTAGCGTACCAGTTAAAAGACACAAATATGTCTTTCACAGGAAACCACCAAGGCGACGACGGTGAGCTAAAGAACGCTCAGAAAACTGCCAAAATCACACTTCAAGGCTCCGGCTTAATTCCTCGCCTTTGGGTGTGTGCATGTGACACCCGCTGGATGGGGACTTCGTGTCACCGCCAGTCTCTGCGATCTAGCTCATTCATGTCGGATCCACTCGGACAGGCTACAAGTGCACGGGAGAGAGAGAGAGAGAGAGGAGAGAGAGAGAGAGAGGAGGAGAGAGAGAGGAGAGAGAGAGAGAGGAGAGAGAGAGGAGAGAGAGAGAGAGGAGAGAGAGAGGGGAGAGGGAGAGACAGTAGTGTGCGTTAGGCCGACTCAGCCCTATTCCTCAAAAATGCGCCCTTAACCTACCATTGCGCACTAAACTCTGTGCCCCCGAATGCTGCTAATCGAAGCTTCTACCCAGAACTGAGCGGAAGGCTATAGTTGTTTCCTCTTGACGTGGCTTCTACTAAAAGCTTACTTATGCGAGACCAGAGACCCCCTAAAGGCAGGCTTGTTTGTGCGAAATCATGGATGAGCACGCGTGTAGTACGCGCAGACGCTGCTCCAGACTCTCCAGTCACCCCACCTGCGCCCATATCTAGTCGTCTGGGCACTGCCCTCCTATGGTGGGTTTTCGTAGAGAGAAACAGATGTGGCGTAGGTATACTTCACCGAACATATTTTACAGCAAACCATCACTGCGCCCTATTGGGAACAGTGGTGATCCTCTCCGAACCACCATTGGAATCTGCGTCGAAATACAAACCCTCCTCCCCCCTCCACGGTCAAATCAAGTTATGCGGCAACTCCAGTGTTCTATATATATTCAAAAGAGGTTCAAAAGGTCTTGAGTTAGTAGGTGCAGTCTACTGAGAGATGAAGTGGGCATATGCTCTCATCGGGATCCGACGGTGATCTTACAAGTGGGTTTTACGGATGGCCCGTGCACTTACCTTTGGGTGAGCTGGTGATGAGAGTTTGAGGGAAGGGTAGGGACTGCGCTAATCCCTCTTCAGGGCTGTCGAGCAAGCGGTCGATGCTGAAGGCCATACTCATTTCCTGATATACCCTACAAGG